TAGAGCATCGGGGTCCTTGCAGCTAGATTCCAGATTACTTAGAAAAACAGTCTTTTATATATATATATATATATAAAAACTAATTCTGTATAATTCACAACATATAAAACTCATCACCCTTACGAATTACATATAAAAATACCTATCATACCTCACCAACCTAACGAGTTTGTACAGTCATCACTACTAAAAGTTAAATTTAAAAAGAAAAATGAAAGAAAATAAGATAATTTATATGCATTTTACGAAAATCAAACAACTATGTCTATATTCAGACAGTAAGATTGCGTCACAATACATCAATCAAAATTTAGGAGCCAAGGCTACTGTAAAGCTGAGGTAATACAACCAGTGAGAAGACAAGATTCGTCCAAAGATGGTACAAAGTTCTGGCCAATGAAAACTTTCGTACTAAACCGGCTGTACGGCGAATGTTAGGTACATCTAAGTACGACACTACACGACGGTTGTGTTAAACGTCATCTACCTTGACAGTCTTGCTATATATATATATACATATATATAGGCTATATATATATATACGTATAGAAGCAGTAATTATTCTTGTACACCCCTAAACATGAATTTTTCGTCAATCATGATAACTGACGTTACAGCTTCTGTTTTTGGGATCTTTATTGTGCTTTTTTCTGTATTACTGATGATCAAGAGAATCAAAGAGAAAAATACAAATTTTAAACAGTTGCCTGGACCTATCGGTTTCCCTATTATTGGAGCTTCACATATAATTTCTAAGTATAAAAAACCATGGGATGCATTTTCTGATTTGAGAAAACAGTATGGTGATGTTTATGGTATACAGCTTGGAAGTAGAAATTGTGTTGTGGTCAGTTCTTTACCAATCATTAGAGAAGTATTGGTTAACAAATGCAACCAGTTTGGTAACCGTCCCGATTTTTTGAGGTTTCATGCCATTTTTCGAGGTGATAGAAATTATTGTAAGTAGATTATTGAATGATTTTTTTTTCTAATTAATAACGCGTTGCTTTTAAGTTAAACTCTATAAATTTCTATTTAGCTATAGCACTGTGCGATTGGTCTTCCAAACAGAAGACAAGGAGGCAACTCGCATTCCCTTTCATGCATCCAAAGGCTCGATCCTTTGGAAGCTCTCGTATGGATCAATATATAAGAACTGAAATGAAAGAATTGATACAATCGCTGGCTCTTGTTCAAGATCAAATTATAGAACCACGTTTTTATTTGTTGATTGCTACTGCAAATATATTTTATCAATTCTTGTGTAGTAAGAGCTATTCCCGTGAAGATCCAGAATTTTGCAATATAGTTAAAATCTATGACGTAGTATTTAGGGAGCTCTTTCAAGGTTTTGCCGTTGATTTTATGCCTTGGTTGAAAGTTTTTAACGTTATGAAGATTTACAGATTGAAGAAATTGGCAGCAAATGTTTCTAAATTTACTGAAACCATCTTTGAAGAGCACGAGAAGGATTTCGATTCGGAACATCCGAGAGATCTTGTTGATATACTTCTTCAACACATTCATGAAAATTCTAAAGATAATGGTGATTTGACTAGAGAAGATGTTGGAATCATCGTCGAAGATCTTCTTGGTGGTCATTCAGTTTTGGGAAATTTATGGCTTTGGGGTCTCTACTTCTTAGCTGATTATCCCGAGATAAGAATGAAGATTAGAAACGAAGTTACAAAGGTTACTAAAAATATACGTTACCCTTCACTGGATGATCGTAGTTCCATGCCATATACTTATGCCACCATTTTGGAATTGATTCGAATTATCAGTTCTCCCATTATTCCTCACGTAGCATCCTGTGATACAGAGATACAAGGTATGTAAACGTAGGACTTTATAACTAACAAAAACTAATATTTCTAACTAAAATAAACTATTTAATCGCAGGTTATCATGTTCGAAAAAATAGTTTAGTCATGTTTAACACTTGCGACTTGAATTTGGATCCAGAATTATGGGAGAAACCGAGAACATTTAATCCAGAGAGGTATGTAAGAAAACGGGAATTTTGACACAAAATTTTACACCTTATAATTAAATTTTACTTCTGTTAATACTTTAGATTCATCAATGAAGAGGGGAAAATACAAAAACCCAATCATTTCCTTCCATTCAGCACAGGAAAAAGAACCTGTTTAGGTGATGGTTTGGTCAAAGCTACTCTTTTCCTTGGAATGTCAACACTCCTCCAATGTTTTGATATTGTTTTACCACCGGATACACCCGGGCCAGATATATATGACGTGCCAGGTTTGGTTATCCCAAGAGAAGAGATAAAACTGATCTTTCGTGCAACCCCCAATTTATCAGACATGTCAGAATAGTAGAATGTTATATTATAAACATATAAACTTGCGCACATTATATTATTATTATTATTATAATTATTCTCTGATCTCGTTATGTTTTATGTATCATATAATATGAATTATGTAATTTATGCATCATTTACGATAGAATTAATCATTTCTAGCAATTATTTTAGGTGAATTTCAAGTCGAATTCCTTAATAAACAACATTGATAACTAATATGTATCATTGTATATAGTTGTGTTTTGTCGTCAGAAATGATTTAGATCCTTATAATGGATGTTAAATTTATGATTTTAACTGATTTTTGCAGTTATGAGAAATGATTATCCTACATTTTGATGTGCAATATTAATTATTTTTTTCGTTTTTTTTATGTACGTAATACCAGTTTGTATGAATAAAATTTTAATAATAATTTGTCATTTTTTTCGATTATTTTACAAGATTTAGCTTAATAATCTATACACATCAAAGAAAATATAAGATAAATAAGATTTTATATTAGTTTTAACGTCATATATTGCTTTTATAACGCATAAAATATATTACAGTGTCAAGTACAATCAAAGCAAGAGCTGGATAGATTGATATAATCCAGATTCTCAGAACTTTTGTTAAACGGATTGTACTTATACACAAAGATCTTTTGTGTTAGAATATACTTTTATATGTTTTCTACATAATTAAATATAAAAAAATATTATTTACTTCAAAGAGAATAGAAGATATAATAGATTTAATAGTAAGATATACTTTAAAACCCGCACGCAATTCGATGTAAGTTAATTAAGACTTAAAAGGCATATACAGAAGAAATTTTTGACAGTTTTTATACAAAATGGCCCTATTACCTAGCAAATTGTGCATCATTCAAAACGGAGTTTCTCTATTTGCATTTTAATTAACGAGTGGATAACTGAAAACAATTAGTTTGTCGCGGGTTCGGACCCGAAAAACGCGCAGTTTTCCGAGTTTTATTCACCTCCCTAACACCTAAATAGAGATGTTTTTCCTATAAAAAGTCCCCTCTCATTGGCATATCGCTCGTGTGTTACATTTCCACTCAATCCTACAATCCTCTTTTTACTTTATTATGTTATTAATGTAAACATGTACAGTTAAACATAAACAAAACATATGTATTAATCAATATCCAAGTAATTATAGAAAATATATTACAATGTATTAAGTACATAAAGAAGCCAACTTCATATTTACAAGAAGAAGATACTAGACAACTTCCCCCATTTCTCAATAAATCCACCGAAACACAGTATATTTAGATTATTATTCTTGTATAAATTAATCTATAAGATACTTTAAATAGACATAAATATTCTCATAATATCTCTTTAAAGCCCAGGCCTAGATGGAAAGGATGCTTACAGAATTATTCTTCCTGACATTGAACAGAGAGTAATCCCCAAATTTTAATTTATATCTTGACTTTTACGTATTACATACGTATACATCTCTAAAAAGTAGGCTAAATACATGACAGGGTCAAAGATCGCCACGTCTACTTGACGTCAGACAAGAGAGGTTAAAGGTCATAACTCCCTTCTGACATCAGCTGGAATTTTTTTTCTCCAGGTTCTAGTTACGTAATGTTATTTATTCTTTTTCTGTGTGATAAAATTATGCACTTATTAATTTATTCTTTGGAAGAATCGAATTTAAAATAAAGTACATATCGAACTTTCACTCGAATAGGAGATTAAGCCTTATTTTAGGTAGGGAAAACTTTAAAAAAAAAAAAACAAATGTAACCCTCCTTATCTGATAGGTTTGGAATCCCCTCTTACTTTTGACTTTTTTCTAAATCAGAAGACCTTAAAACCTTGAAAAATACAAAAAGCCAGGGGGGTTGACCTACTAGTTTTTTTTCAATACTTTTCCCTATGCTTTTTGTCGAAAATTTCTGAAATTTTGCAGGGAGTATTAGGGAATTGATGCTGTTAAATTTTAATGGTTAAAGGTCGAGAGGGTGGGAAGATAAAGGAAGTCGTGTGTATCTCAAGTAAGGTGACGATAATATTTCAATAATTTTTTTTAAACAATTTTTCCAACTAAAAATTAAAATGTAGAATACAGTTATCATCACATATATTTTCCTGTTTTCTTCGTGGAATTTTTAGCAGTATCATTCATCACCTGTAGATAGGATATATCTGTAGATGTCAATGGTTATATATCATTACTCATGAAATTTCTGCTAAGATAGATTCTACAAAATAGATGATGGTTCGACTCCCTTCCGACTACAATAGATCTTATCGAATTGTTAAAAATATGTGCTGAATCTCCTTAAAATATTTGTTAACATCGTCTTTAATTTCTAATATTTTTATACAATAAACTTTATTAAAAATTTCAAGTTTAGATTCAGTTTATTTGTTTGAATTCTTTAATATTTTTTAATGAATTTTGGGCCTCCCCGTCATTATTCAATTATCTTAGAATTAATTTGCTAATCTAACCTAATTGAATTTATGCAATATGATTTATTATATTTGCTTTTATTTTAGAATAATAAAACTGATTACTTTTGTATTAAGGGGATGCTGCAGCACCACAGCACCCCATGGATAGGGTGTTTAAGTTCTTTATCTTTAATTTAGGCTTCTATCCAGGGCAAAGGTCAGCATTACGTGGAAGAAAATGCCACTCATTGAAAATAGAAAAAATATTTTATATAGATATAAATGGTATTTTCTATGATTACAACAGGTAAAACTTATAACACAGTGTTACCCTTCTGTTGTAATTTTTATATATTTCCGAGAATAAATTGTAAAATATAATAATAATAATATAAAAGTCATCGTTTTATTTACATTTCGCATTCTTTTCCACTGGTTTATTCTATGTTTAGCAATTGTAATGCATACATTTCTTATTACAGCCTCGTTGAAACTTGATCATTCTGCAAAGCCTCGCTTCCTCTATATATTCACATACATCACCTTTCATTGTTTACAATGCTGCATACAATATAAGCTGCTTGTTACGTATGTAATAAGCAGCTTATATTGTATGCAGCATTAATGTATGCAGCTTATATTGTATGCAGCGTAAGATAACGTATGTACTGTACACAAAACAATAAAAAATTCTTCCCTAACACAACAACTTCGAAGTTTTCTAAGCTTCAGAAAATTGATCCTGCAACACGAAAGTAAACGATTCTTACTTCTCAATCTTGAGCTTCTCTTCCAGCATCCTAGTTTAGAAAATACATTTCTACATTGTTTTTATCCGTGGCATGTAGAGATTCTATATTTTAACGTGTGTTTTACGTAAGGCTAATAAGTTGATTAGTATATTACCCAATCTAAGAACCTCGAAGGTACTTATTAAATTTAAAAAACACGATCCAAATCAGTTCTATAGGAAGGATGGCAATGTGGGGTGATGATTATTGAACACTCTTGATAAATTGAGTCTTTTGCGATTTGACAAACACGTCCAAGAAGAAGGCCTCAGTTTTTATGACCAAGATTTCCATTTTATTATTAATTGCAACGATAAGAGCCTCAAAAAATAAGGTGATTATGTTAAAAAAATAGAGCGAACAAGCAGCTGAACACTAAAACAACCCTTAGAATATTATAAGTTTGCTAGTATACGGCAATATAGTATAACTTTCTATGGGAAACTGGCCCGTATTTAGCTGTTACAAACGTAAAAAGAATCCGAAAAACTCCACGTAGCGAGGTGCAAACCCACGACTAAGGCTATTATAAGCCTTAAATATAACATCATAAAAACACCCAATTAAATTAAGTTTTACAGTTAAAAATTACCCTATTAAGTTTGTTATAAATTAAGTTAACGAGTTGTTTTAATGTTCAATTGTAATCTAGCTCTTCCCCCTTACGAGTTTATACAGTATTATATAAATATTACCTTTAAAAATACTTGAAAAATTAATAAATTTTAATAAATATAATTAAAAGAACTGTACTTAATTTATTATATTTTATAAAATATTAAACTCTAGATTTTTACATAATTAATCACTCGAAAGTTAAAAATAAGATTCTAACTTCAAGTAATTTATAAAACGAAATTATTAATTTGACATTTTAATGGTATTTTTTTTTAAATACAATTAGCTTCGTTTTTAAATTACCTTCTGCTAAGAGAGGGGAGACATTACCATATAACTTTAAAAACTATTATTAACTAAATAAATATATTTTATCAGTCGTATTAAAGTTTAGAAATTATAAATTAATTAAGTAATTATAAATTTTAAACACACTTTTCATTTAACGTCCCACCGAGTGGGTAACACCACTGGTCACTTGTGAGAAGACTTTCTATGGAAAAAATGGTTCCTATTTGGGTTTTAATAACGTGAAAAATCCCCGAAAACTCCACGTGGCCAGCACATAACATGGGAACTTTAATTATGGCCTCATTTCTTCACCAATAAAGTTATCACAACTATTTGTATAGTGTTAAAAACATTATTTACTAATATAAATATAATCGTGTATTGTACACATAGAACCATATTTTTCCCTTATTTTACTCTAGTATTTCTATATATTGTTACATCCAGATACATAAATTTCAACACAATTTTACAACTAGATAACTTAATGTTACGCTATCTTGTTACGTTGTACTTGAGCTATTTCGTCACCTTAAACCATTTCGGCGGTGGATCCATTACTAGAATATTTTATGTAATTTCTGCTTATTTTACATTATTTTATCTCAAANATTGTTTAACATTTATTGTGACGTAATAAATGAAGTAATAAAAATTTTTTTGATTTTTCTGTAGTATTTTCTAGCGTAAGAATGGAGGTAACGCAGTAGAACTTGAATGAGTATCACTCCTCCCCTTGGCTTTAAAAATAATTAAATAAATTCGAAAATTCAAATATCGCGTCATAGACGTCGTGTGACGTTTGTTGTTTGTTTATTTATTTTTTTTATACAGAATCTGGAATTTTTCATAAAAGTTCGGGATTTTCAAGTTTATACATGTCTTGTAATTTTCTAATGTACAGTACGTTGTATATAGCTATAATTTACATATATAATGTTCTCGTTCGTAATAAACATAGGACTATTTCTTTCCCATATGAAAATCGGCTCCATTCTTATTAGGATAATATAATTTCTTGGTGATGATTCTAATGGTGATGTTTATGATCATAGTGACGATGTGATTGTGATGGTGGTAGTGATGATGATGGTGTCATGGTGATGATGGAGACGATGTGATTTTGATGGTGGTTGTGATGATGGTGTGATGGTGATGATGGTGATGATGTGATTGTGATAGTGGTGGTGATGATGGAGATGATATGATTGTTGTGGTGGTGGTGATGATGGTGTCATAGTGATGATAGAGATGATGTGATTGTGATAGTTGTGGTGACGA